GGAAAGAACTATGTACCAGAATGATTTGACTTTGGATTTGTTTAGAATTGCCTAGTTGGAATAATTTTATGGTGTTTTGCTCTTGTAGGAGCCCATTCACAACAGATATAAAGAACTTCTTGCTAAACGAGCAGAGCTTCAGAAAAAAGTAGAGGAACTCCAGAGAGAGATTTCCAACCGATCAACCTCATCCTCAGAGAGAGCCAGTTCTCCTGCACAGTGTGTCACTCCTGTCCAAACCGTCGTGTGAAAGGACTGTTAGATGGGGGCCATCATCGCCATGAACCCTTAAAAACAATGGCAGCTTTACAAGTAGAAAGTATTCTGAATTTAGAACCCATCTGTCAGAGAAATTTAGTCACTTTATTTATTTTAAAATCTCTCTAGAATGAGTTTAGAACTCTGGGAGTACAGGTGGCCTAAGTGAAATAACCTCACATGTAATTGTATCATCATAACACTAATCTTATAAGTCACCCAAAGAATATTAAAATGCTTCAGTCCTGCATTCACAGTGGGAATAAGTTCCTGAATTCAAAAGGAAAATGCTTAGAAATTTTGGTGTCTGGTAAAATCAAAATACAAACTACTCCAAAAATATACCTCTTGATGGAAGAGAGCTCATTGTACAGAAGGAGGAGCATGAGTTTCAAACTAAACCAACACTGAAATTCTGTGGCATTATAAGTGTTTGGCCTCAGTGTCATGATAGATCAAAATCATTTGATACTCCTTTCCCCATCATGGGTTTTTCTTTTGTGGTAAGTAATTTACTTAGATCACCTTTCAACAGCCACATTCTTTATATATGATAAGTCAAAATCTTGAGATTATGGTGCAGTAGTTGAAAATTGTTATTATTTATGTACTTATTTAAGATGTATGATTAAGATAGCTGTCCAAAATGATGCCTTATAGATGTGCTTGCGGGGAGGAGGGAGAGGAGAAAGGAGTAGCTGTCCAGGATTTCAAAGAAGTCCTTCAGATTAGTTTTCATTTGCCTAATTACTAGAAACATGAAACATTTTAAAAACTCATTATCTACCCTACTTAGATTTGTTGGTGTGTCTGAACACAGAATTGGCAAGTTTTGAGGCAATATTTTTAAAAGTTTACCGGGGCTGACTTTTCCTGAAGTCTGTATAAATTGCTTATGGTGAGAGGCACTACGCTCAAATTTTACAGGAAATATTTTACTGCTATTCTCCTTTGCAAATTCTGTAATTCCACTGAATGATAAAGTTTACCAAAGAACTTACTGCATGTAAAAATGTACTACAGTCTCAATGCCAGTAAAGGAAATCCCGCTTCACTGTTCACCTGCTGCAGTAAGAGGTCATTGCTGGTATAACTATTGATTCCCTGGTGTCTGTTTTACTCTATAAGAGCCATATGTTATGTACTGTAACAAAGGAGCTTCTTATCCCTTGAGTCTTTGATTAAAAGAAAATTTCAACTGACTTTTAAACTTTGACCTTGTCCTAAGCTATATTAACTTTCTTTTGCAGAAATGTTATTTGGAAATTTTTTAAGGAAAAGGTATCTCAGCATCTGCTTCAACAGGAAATGTTGAGTTTGCACCTATTTTCCCTCTAATACACAAACAGTAATCAAAAATACAGAATTTTTTCACTTGTTAATTCACAAGTCTGAACCTTAGCCCTGCTCCTCTTAGTCTATGCAAAATTGGTACCAAAATGATTTGGTTACCATGTGAAATTTGTTATAAGAAAATTTATTATAGTATTTAAGTGGCCAGTCTGTCATTAAAGCTAAGTTTTCTATCTCAAATATTTTATAAATACAATCTACCATTATTCTCTTGGTCTGATACTGCATAAAAGAATGTAGATGACTGAAGAGATAATTTAAAACTTCTAGGCTGAACATCACCCTCACATCCACTTTAAATTCCATTCAAAAGCCAGGGCAGTCTAAGCACAAATCACATCTCTTTTCAAATCCTTCCAGTGGCTTCACCTTCTGCAGGGGTCTCCAAAGTGGAATACATTTATAATAATCCATTGGTGGTGATGCCAGCATCAGGGCAGTGCGTCGTTCCTTTTCTCTCTGCTCTCCCACTTAAAACTAATTGGATATCCATAACTGAACAAAAGTACTTCTGTACTGCATACCAGGACATCCAAGAGATCATCCATCACTGCATCCAAAAGTAGGTGAGTTGGACCTAGGAGGCGGCTATGGAGCCAAGAGAGTTGCAGTGCTGCAGTGGCACCGACAGTGTGGCAAACTACTTAGGAGAGGTACAAAGTGAAAGGGGTAAGAGAATTGGACTATACTTGGAAGGTCCCATTACTCTTCAGCAACGCCCAGATTTCTTAGACCTCTTTGACAAGGGGGAAGGAAAGGAAAATAAGGCAGACAAAGAGAACCGAGGGAACACGTTTCTTGCTGTCTGCACTAGGGTCCCCGCTAATGGGAGGTGGGCACTTTGTACTACCAAGCACACATCTCCTCTCATTCTGCTGCCAATCTTTTTTTTTTTTAAGCTACCTTTTTTTTTTTTTTTTAACACATTCCCAATTTTAGCAGCAAGTCAGCTCCAGTAAGGGAAACCAAAACACATGCCATAGCATTTACCTTCTGGAAAATGAAAGACTTCTAATTGCCAATCTGTTGAACTGTTAGAATAAAAGTAAACAAAGTCTTACCTAAATAGGAAAGGTGTTCACTACCTCAAAGGTGGAAGCAGAGGCACATTTCATCAAACACTATGAAAAATCACAGTAATACAGTATCCAGAAAGAAAAATTCTCCAGCAACTAACCCAAAGACAGAATGTTGCAGTCCAACTGATGAATTCAAAATAACTCTTATGAAACTCAACAAGCTACAAGAAAACTCACAAAGGCAATTTAATGAACTCGGGAATAAAACTAATGAACAGAAGGAGTACTATACCAAAGACAGTGAAATTCTAAAGGAAACCAAACAAAATCTAGAGCTGACGAACTCAATAAATGAGATGAAGAATGCATTAGAGAGCACTGTATAGAGCAGACCAGATGGAAGAGAAAATAAGCAAGCTGGAGGAGAATTTAGAAATTATTCAGGTGAAAAAGGATATAGAACTAGAACTAAAATTTTTAAAAGGTGAAAACCCTATAAGAATCATCAGACTCCATTAGAAAAGCCAACATAAGATTATTGGTATACCAGAAAGAGGAGAGAGAAAGCAGCAGAGCATTTAAATAGTAGCTGAGAACTCAAACCTGGGGAAGCAAATGGACATACTGGTGCAAGAAGCTAACGTAACACCTTAGCGTCTCAATCCATATAGATCTTTTCCAAGACACATTATAATGAATATCAGAAGTCAACGATGAAGAATTTTAAAGGCAACCAGGGAATAAAAGATAGTAACCTACAAAAGAGCTCCCAGCAGGCTATGGGCAGATTTCTCAGCAGAAACCCTATAGACGAGGAGAGTGGAATGACATATACAAAGTATTGAAAGATTAAAATTGCTAGCCAAGAATACTCTTTGGCAAAGTTATCCTTCAGATATGCAGGAGAAATAAAGGTTTTCCCAGGAAAAAAGTAAAGGAGTTCACTACCATTAAACCTGCCTTATAAGAAATGCTGAAAGGTCTTCAAGCTGAAATGAAAAGACCAAAGTGCACAAAACTCTTACTAAGGTGATAAACAGAATTTGAAAACTAACTCTTACAGTAAACAATTACAACATAAAGGCAAAGAGCCTTAAAAATAACTATAGGTAATACAATTTGCTACCAAATTCACAGAACCAGAAGATAATCTATGACATCAAAAATATAAAAGAGAAGGAGTAAAAGGATAGAATCTTTAAAGGTAAATGAAGATAAATTGCTATAAGCATAAAATGGACTATTTTACCTATTAGATGTTTTATGTAAACCATGTGGTGAGCACAGAGCAAAACTGGAGCAGAGACATGAAACTTGGAAAACTGCCAACTTAAAAAGTAGATGAAAACAAAAAAACAGTGGTGAGACAAAATAACCAGAAGGCAAAATATGAAATGGCAGTAGTAAGCCCTTATATATCAATAATCACTCTAAATGTAAATGGATTGAAGTCACCAGTCAAAAGGCACAGAGTGCATGGGTGGGTAAAAACAACAAGACCCAACTATACTCTGACCATAAGAGACTCATTTCAGCTCTAAAGACAAATGCGCTCAAAGTGAAGGGGTGGAAGGTGATATTTCAAGCAAGCGGAAACCAAAAGAAAGCAAGCATAGCCATACTTAGTCAAAATAGACTTCAAGCCAAAAATAATAAATTATACAAAGAAAATTATATAACGACAAAAGGGTCAATACATCAAGATAAAACAAGTATATCCTCAACACTTGAACACCATAACATGTTAAGCAAATAATATATCTTAAGGGAGAAACAAACAAAAATACATTTATAGTAGGAGACTTTGATATCTTGCTATCACCAAGGGAAAGATCACCCAGATAGAAAATATGCAAGAAAATGCTGGAATTGAAACATATTAGAACAAATGGACTTTGCAGGCTTACACAAAACATTCTATCCAACAGCAGCAGAATACACATTCTTCTCAAGTGCACATGAGACATTCTCCAAGATAAATCATGATAGGAAACAAAACAAATCTTAGCAAATTTAAGAAGATTAAAATCATACCAACTATCTTTCTGACCACAATGGTATGAAACTGGAAGTCAATAAGAGGAAAGTGAGATCTACAAATACATGGAAACTAAACGTGCTGCTATACAACCAATGGGTCCAAGAAGAAATCAAAAAGCAAATTTTTAAAAATTACCTCAATAAAAATGGAAATACAACATATCAAATCTTGAGGGATGAGGGAAAGCAGTTCTTAAAAGCGTACAGCAATAAGCACATGTTAAGAAATCAGATCTCGAATAAACAACCTAATTTTATACTTTAAAGAACTACAAAAAAAAACCCCACAAAGCCCAAAGTTAGCAAAAGGAGAGAAAAAAAGATCAGACTGGAAATAAATGAAATAGAGACATTTTCCCAAAGAGACATTGACAGTTGTTTTATAACTTTATAAATGTCTAAAAATATTGGTTGTACAGGTGTTTTTCCTTTATGATCAGTGACCTAAAATTTAGAGATCAAGATGGTTAAGTTGCAGCTCCTTAGGAGCTTTCTGGGATGTATCCACTTATGCTTTTATTCCTAGCTGAATACCTCAACTTTTATGTACCACTACTACTCAGCCGGTCACAGTTCTCCCATGTAAACTGCAGATTCCTGCCTCTTTGCTTTTGTTCATTCTACCTTGTTGACCTGGAACCGTTCACCCTTGTGACTAATTCCTGTTCTCTAGTCTTTAGGCATCATTTCCTCCTCAGAAGTTTTTCCTGATTCATCAGTATCTTCTCTGCCATGCCCCACCTTCCTCTGTGCTCCCCGAATAGTGTGCACATGCTATAACCACTGTACTCACCACACAGTACTGAAATGAATACTTCAGATGTCTAACTGTAAGCATACCTTTCTTACTCAGCTTGGTATCCATACTGGCATCTTATACACAGGAGATTCTTGCATTTGAAATGCATTGCAATGAAGCGCTCATACAGTAGAACTGGATTGATGACAACATAATCCTCTGCTGTAAACTCTCAGATAAAGAAGCTGAAGCAATATTTTCTTATTTTCAGTTCTCACCTGAGGGTATCAAAAGCTGGAGTGGATTTTCAGTTTGACTCCTAGCTGAGGAATGGGGTGAGTTTTACCAACATTATACCACTCTTCTAATTAGGACTTGGAGCCACTGCAATGCAAGTGAGGGTTATACAATTTAATGACCTGAAATTGAAACAGAGATAACAAAAGTTTTAACAGCTGAAAAGATGGTTGAGACACAAATATTTTCCATGTCACGGAGCAGCGATTCCTTGGGTCTAGGGACTCACCGTTGTGAATTCGATAAAGATACAAACTTGCTCATCAGACAATTGCACATACAAGCAAAAGTTTACATCCAATTTCAGGAGATTCATAAATATCCTCAAATCTAAAGATCCTAAAATAAGAACTCTATAGAAAAATAATTCAATAAGAAGCCTAACAAGCTAGGTGCTCAGCCACTACAATTCACGCTGGTTATGTAGACAAAATCCTAGAACTTGTGGTTAATGTGTTTCTTTAGTACTCTTAAGAGTCTCTTATCATATGAGCTATTCATTCTTGGGCTTAATTTCTTTGTAAGCATGAGAAAGGCAAATTATGTACTAAATACCATATATTATTGTTTCTCATAATATGCTAATGTCTTATCTAGAAACGCACTTTTTTGGGGGAAAGTTTACAACAAATAAAGCCTTCGTTAACAGGCTGTTAAGGAAAATTTCAGTGTTTCCTTTAAAAAAGCTGCTTTATTGACTTGAGTGGCAAATTTATAAAAAGTTAACATGTCTTGATCTATTCAAAATTATGATT